TCCATTTGAAAGTTAACCAAAATTGTATTTGTTCGTTGCAACATTTTCAGCATTTCGCCATCTTTTATCCTTAGTTCGACCTAAAAAGGAAATTTGCAAAACGAGAGCATATTTCACTTATCATCCACTTTACACGCAACATCAACTAGTCTACTTGTCTCGCTGCATCTGTCCGCCAAAAAAAATACAATAAAAAAAAGGGGAAAGGCGGAAAAATATTTGTTTATCTCCACACATGTATCTAACTATGCCAGGCAACATGGCTGCATTTCCTGCCATCCTTGCTCCACTCCACTGCAACCTCAGGCGAATTCGAAACCGAAAATGAGGAAATATGTATGCGAATCCTTTGGCTTGCCTCAGGCGTGTTGTTTTTCTGTTCTGGCTTTGATTTTGATTTATGTTGCTGTAAACACAGCCAGCCGAAGTAGAAGAAATGGCATTCGCCGTGGAACAACCCCGGCAACCTCATTTGCTACTTACTTTGTCGCATCATTTCACCACGGAGCACTGGAACCGCCAGGACCGCCTCAGTCAGACAACAACGCATGCCAACGCATAGAAGCTGTGATTTTTTTTGTCCTGCTGTTGTTGTCCCTGCTCCTGCCGTTGTTCTTCCGCAGGATTCTCTCAGGCGACAGGGTAAATGTTTGCCATCCCTCGAAAGCTTCTCACATAATTGTGGTGTCGGTTGGCGGTGATGAAAGTGCCAGCGAAAGAGCATTTCTGGTTCCTTATTCCGAATGTGGAGTGTCCTGTAGCGTGAATTTTATTTCAATTTCAGGTACTTACTTCAATTGTCTAATTGTAGTCTAAATAGCTCTGTATTCAATTTATATTAAAAAGTTACCTAGTCAATTTCTTTTCGATTTGAAAAATATTAAGAACGATTTCCGCTGTTTTTCCAATGACAAAAATTCGTAACAACCTGCGGATAGTGTATATTTGGCAATCGCATTGTGAGTGTTTTCGCTTTATAAAATGCAACATTTGGCAAAGCGACAAACTTGCTTTTAGCCCAACTCGAAGCCGTGTAATATTTACTTATACGTTTTTGTGGGGAGGCAAAACTACGCGTAACGCTTTGTTTGACTTGAATTTATGGTGATGTTTCTCTTTTTTACTTCAGCTGCTCCTTTTTTTTGGCAAACTCCCAAGCTGACTCATGGCAAAGTGCCTGAGCCTGGCAGACAGTGTCTGGCTGTCCCGGCACTTTTTCCCGAAAATGTTTTAATTTCCTTGGCTCGACACAATAATTTACACACCACACACACACACTTCCCTTCAGCTATTTGCACTGCCATAAAATCCTTGTTTGACTTGCATTCCGTCCAATAATTATGTTTGCACATTTTATGTAGTCAGCAGCGGCTCTGCTTATTAAAATTTATATGACAATTCGTTAGTTTGTTGCCTGGCCCCAATAATTCATAGCGTTCTTTTTTGTGTGCTTTTACTACCCGGATCCTTTGTAGTGGCTACATTTTTGGTTTTATTTGCCATATCTTTGCCTTTGCCTTTAACATATGCCCATCAAAATTGATTGCATACTTTTTGGCTGCTGCGCCTGTTTATGTGGTTAGTGAGCCGCAAAGCACGTAGTAAAAAGTCCTATCTTGGAATGACTTCATACTTTTTATGATTTTAACAGTAAGTTCGCAAAAAAAAAGAAAGAAAACGAGATGTTTCTCGATCATAACTTTTTGCTTTTATACTGATGTCGTTCCCGGAATAACTTTGTATTCAATACTTTTAATGAAGTCCCAGATTTGTATACTGATTCTGGTAGTATCTGTAATATTTAAAATTAAATTAATGGAAAGTAAAAGTAATGAAAATATTTCCTTTGGAACCCCAAGTGCAAATCTAATCCCTTGCCAAAAAGCAGCTTCAACTATGTGGTTTAGTTACCTTTCTAACGACTAATTGCCTTCATGGACTACTGACAAGGACTCCTGACCGACTGGGCAGCTTAAGAGCTTCCCTTCCCTTCCTGAATTCCAGAAATATAAGTCGTACAACTCAAAACTAGAAAGCACCAAAGAATAACCATAACCACCGGTTTTAAAAATGGAGTGTGCACCTGCAAAAGGGAATTTTCCATTAACGCACGTGTGCTCGAGTCGAAGACCAAGGACCTGTTCTCCTTGCCACATTGCAACGACCAAAGAAAAAAATATAAAGAAAGAATTTGGGAATGCCGGTCTGAGCCACAGTTAGGAGGGGTTGCAGCATCGCAAACTGACTGACAAAACCTCAACGTGCCACTAAAAGCATAATCATGCACTTAACTAAAGCCCGGCAAAGGAAGCTGTAACCGGGCGAAGGAGGAAGGGTGTTCCAGGTGCTGAGTTAACGCACGTAGAACTTAAGTCATCATCATATAAATAAAAATTTATGACTTTAAATGTGTTTCTGCGTGGATTTGTTTGTTTGTTTGCTTCCTTGTGGCCTGTGGTTGCTCCTTGTGGATGCGGTGGTTTATCACCGGGGGAGGTGCTTTCGAGTTGAGGGAGTGACGACGACATGCGTGACTCTCTCGAAAGGGTGAAAATTTAAAAATGGTGTGGCAACCAGGTGAGGATTTGTCGGGGAAACACAGAAACTTTTGGGTAATGGAAATAAAATTATATAAAATATTCACGACTGTGACAAACATTTAGGTAAACTGGTGCAAGTCAAAAAGCTGGGAAGTAAAATTTAAAAGGAAACATATATATTAGTCCAAGTACTTGTGTAACTATGTGTGCAATGTTTTGATCATCCAAACAATATTTTAATAGATTTTAATGTATGGCTGGAACTTTTAAAATGATTTTCTTTTATCAAGCTTACAAATCTTTACATTACATGAAACAAAAATCATATTTACTCACTAAATAAATCAAGTAATATTCATTTTACTCAAAGCAATTATTACTGTACAAATCTACAGTATTCCAGAAAATGATATCTCCCCTCGAAAGTGATAGCAACGCAACTCCAGCATCTTCTGAGACCTTTCAAGTGCCCCTAATTACACATTATATTCATGGGAAACATCTTGCAGCTTTTCGAGTTTCCTCACAATTATGACAACCGACAGCTTTTACTTTCTCGTACTTAAACGTATCCTGAAATGTAAATTTCAGTTCCATGCGAGGGGGAGATGGTAATGCGAGAAACTAACAAGAGAAAGCCGCTTGCCGGGCTACTTTTCAAGTTAAAGTTATTATCCTGGGGCCGAGCCACTTGCAGGACTCGGCCCGCCCATTCCTTTCAGTGCGACCCCATGCCAGACTTGACAAAACTCGGCAGACTTTTGAATAAATTTTCAATCTCCAGGACAACGGGAGTGAGAGTGGCAAGGGGAGGGAGGGAGGGGAAACAACAACAAAAGGGAAAATCAGCGTTATGAATATGTAGCTACATCTGCTTAAATGTATCTGGCCCTGTGCCCGTGTTGTTGGCTAAGTGAAAAGCCAAAGCCGAGTTGCTGCTTGCAACATTTTTAAAAGCGGCTTTACTTTCTCTCCTCTAAGACGCCAGGCAACTTTATTAAATTTCTTTTTTCGGCTCTGGCTAAAAACTTTCCACCAGCTGCAGCCGACAATGGGGAAAAGAACTATTCTCCTGCACTTCTTGTTCGGCTTGACGTTCTACGTTAAATGCTTTTAGCCGCTTTGTGTTTTTGGAACTTTTGCAAGAAGTTTCCCCTGGCAAATCGCTGCCTCGACCGAAATATGATTTAATTTCTGTTGATTCGGCGGGATAAGCAATTTTAAATAATTAAGCCAATAAACAGCTGATAACAAATCCCCAATTAAACCGAAGACAATTAAATTTAATGCCTCCAAGCGGGAGAAATGTCTCCATGCTGCGACAATGCGCCCACGAGCGAAGTGCGACCATTTCTCTTTGTGGTCAACCGCCATTAACGTTTATTACACCCACCAAGTGCCGGCAAAAACCAAAGAGCACAGGAACCGAATGAAGGCCCCCCCAAATGGGAAGAGCAAACGAAATAAAGAAGGCAACAACGGCAATGGGCGAAAAAATATAATTAAAAATAAACATTACGCGGCGACAGACAATGAGAAGAAAACCCAAGGAAATTCACAAAACCACAAAAAAAGCGAGAGAGAGAAAAGGAAAACCAAAGAAAATGCTACTGAAAAAGCGAAAAGAAATGTGTAATAAAATGAAAGCAGCAGCCAGGTGAAAATTGCATTAGTCTGGACCAAGGAGATAAGGACAAAGGATCGAGGGTTTTTGTGCAGCAGCATTTTAGGCGCTTAATTGAGCGTTTTAGTTATGCTAATTGTTTGGGAACAACAAAACACCGGCTAATGGACAGGTGCGAGATGTCTCCCAGTTACCCAATTCCAGTTCGCATTTATTGTTTGCCATTTGTTATAAGTGGAGGAGAGTCCGGGATCATTAGGTCCTGGACCTTGGAATGATATGCTGACAAATGTGCGCCAATTAATAGTGTTATTGTGTGGAAGGAAGCGATGATTAAGGCATGGGCGAGCATAACATGGCCCATTAAGGTAGCCATTAAATGAAGATTGAAGAAAAGCAATTATTCAGTTATGTGAATAGGGAGTTAAGATCTGGAACATAGTTTATTTAAATGTATTAGGATCCATAATAAAACCACATATTCATTTTCTTTGCTTTTTGGTTTTTTATTTTGATTATCTACCGTAAATACTTATATGATACATATCTCCATTTCATTTTCCTCCAATTTTCCCCACTTCATTTATATAATATATACAAATACAATACATATATACTGTCACATATATAGGCAATATTTAGACTTAACATCTAGTTGCTTACGTTTGCCCCTTAATTCTTTTCATTCGGGGTTTCTGGGCATTACATTTAGGCGTAGTATGTATATATAACTTTACATAATACATATACATATATATTTATATATAAATACCATTTATACGATTTAGAAATAATCTTGACTTTGATATATAAATGTAAATGTAAAGAGAAACAAAAAATTAAAAGCTTAGCACAACATTTTTTTGTCATTTTGGTTTCATCTGGCTTCACCCACACCCGGAGTTGGCAGATTGGTTTCGAAGTGGCTCCCAAGATCCAATCAGGTCAAAGATCTAGGTAAGGTTAAAAGTTTCAAGTTCAAACCATTGTCAAGCATTTTGTCCTAAAGCCTTTCAATACGTTTGCAAACTTTGAGTAAGTGTGCAATGGAAACCAATTCGCACCTCCTGGCAATCCCATCATCTGTTTTGTAATAACTGAACCGATGAAATTCGCAGCATTTATGATGAACTAGCGCTAGGCTTGTATTTAGTGTATTTCTCCTGTTCTTCAGGGGCGCCACCAAAGGCCATCGTGTCTCCAAGTCACTCGGAAAGGGGTCTTAATGCCTGTTTTGATGTTCAGTTTGCCAAAGCCATGAATGAATAACTATTTATATTTATATTTAGAACCCTTTTCAAGTGAATTCAAGGCGCTGGAGGGCCTTCGTTGTGGCTTCCCTGATTGTCTTGTTCGGCTTTGTATTTTTCCTTAAATGCATTTGAAGTTACTTTGAGCTAGCTGAAACGAGTGTCTGGTGTGTTAGTGTATAGGTGTGTAAATATTTAGATACATTTAGCAGTTGCTTTTGGGTCTTGGCCTTGGGCTAAACTCCACCCACATCCCCTATCTATGTTGGACTCCCACATCCCTCGCCGTCTCCGTCGCCGTTTCCGTTTCCGTTTCTGTCCCGGCCTCCGCATCCCCTATCGTCCCTGAAATGTGGCACTCGAGTTGCATGGCAATTGAATCATGTTAATTGCCCAACGCCTCTCCTGCTGTTGTTACTGCCGCTGCTGCATCCTTTCCAGCTGCGCTTTGACGCCCGCAGGCTGCAGCTCCCGTCCAGCTGCAGTGCCCGCATCTCCCCGGGCCTTGTCCGGCGGACTGTGCACCTCCTGGTGGGGATGCTCCGGCTGCTGCCGGAGTCGCCGGTGTTGTTCCTCGCATTGCTGGTTGCCCCGCCGTTGGCCTTTGTCATCGCCTGTAACGGCGACACTAATTGCCCTCCGACTGTCCAACTGAGCGCCGCCATCAGTGATCCACCGCCCAGGGCCAAAAGTGCCCAGGATTGACTGTGGCACGGACGCGAGCCCGTCGATGAACCAGCGCCACGCCAGGCGGCGCCACCATCCTCCATGCCGCCCTCCGTTCCGTCGTCTTCTTCGCCTGAGGGTACAAAATTAAAGAGAAAGTCTAACGAAAAATAGAAAGAAATGCAGACAAACGTAGGGCATGTATTCGATGTATTCTGGTAGTTCACTGTGTTCATCTGTCCAACTACAGGCGAAATTGGCTAAGGAGAAACCACATATGTATGGGTTTATCTTTAAACACTAAAAATAAGATAATCCGTGACTAACTAAGGGACTTTCTTAGTACTTTTCGGTATATATTTGAGTAAGTTTACTCCCATTTTAAAACCTTCATTTTAATCAATTGCAATAAATGGAAATATAAATAAATATTGGATCTTTAGCTAACGTTATAACATAAGCTTAACAGAAGTTCTCTACATTTAATTGAATCATAAATAAAGGAATTGTTTCATTTGTTGACTTAGCTAAGATCGACTGTAGCTGAAACTTGGACTTTTTCGAGTGCTCGTGTATTGTGAGTGGAGTGTCCGGCACTAATTGGCTGCTCAACTCACCCTGAATCTGTGTCAGGTAGCTATTCTTCTTGTTGTGAAATTGCTCATCCTCGTGCAACGTGTACTGGTCGTAGAATTCATCAGGACTAACCCGATTTCCGCTGGCCCCGTTTCCATACTTGCCAAACGCATCCACCTCGAGAATCGTCTTCTCCGTGGTCTTCCAGTAGACATCGTGCAGCTGGGCACTGCATCGAAGCTGTAGAATATAGAAATCAAAGAATTTGGAATTCAAATCCCTCATTCTTAAGAACCCAACTCACCTTAAGTTTGCCGTTGTCAAAGTGCTGATCAGTGACCACGAAATGGATGCCCACAATGGCAGTTTGCATATCGTTGTGAGGATCTCTCAGCAACTTGTGGTGACGTACGTGGGAAGGATTTACCTGAAAGAACATTGAATATTTAATATTTTAATATTCTGAAATAGCTCAGGGAAATATGTGTTAAATAAGACTGCAATTTGGATATCTTTATTCTTAGTTTAAGCATCCTGTGCTCTGTATTCTTATACATTATCAAAAAGTCCTTGTCAAAATAAATTAACTCATGAAGGAATCAGGATTTGGGTCAGTTGAAAATCATCCTTCGCCACTACTTTCCCCAATATACAATACTTTAATATATTTTAATATTCTGAAATATCTCAGGGAAATAAGTGTTAAATATGACTGCAATTTGGATATCTTTATTCATAGTTTAAGCATCCTGTGCTCTGTATTCTTATACATTATCAAAAAGTCCTTGTCAAAATAAATTAACTAATAAAGGAATCAGGATATGGTTCAGTTGAAAATCATCCTTCGCCACTACTTTTCCCCAATATTTTTTAATATTCTGAACTATCTCAGGGAAATAGGTATTAAATTGGGCTGCAATTTTTATATCTTTATTCATAGTTTAAGCATCCTGTGCTCTGTATTCTTATACATTATCAAAAAGTCCTTGTCAAAATAAATTAACTCATGAAGGAATCAGGATTTGGGTCAGTTGAAAATCATCCTTCGCCACTACTTTCCCCAATATACAATACTTTAATATATTTTAATATTCTGAAATATCTCAGGGAAATAAGTGTTAAATATGACTGCAATTTGGATATCTTTATTCATAGTTTAAGCATCCTGTGCTCTGTATTCTTATACATTATCAAAAAGTCCTTGTCAAAATAAATTAACTAATAAAGGAATCAGGATATGGTTCAGTTGAAAATCATCCTTCGCCACTACTTTTCCCCAATATTTTTTAATATTCTGAACTATCTCAGGGAAATAGGTATTAAATTGGGCTGCAATTTTTATATCTTTATTCATAGTTTAAGCATCCTGTGCTCTGTATTCTTATACATTATCAAAAAGTCCTTGTCAAAATAAATTAACTCATGAAGGAATCAGGATTTGGGTCAGTTGAAAATAATCCTTGGCCACTACTTTTCCCCATTTGTTGACCCAATTGAGCCTGTGAATTTGATTGACTTCAGGGCTGCAAATTAATTTGCACTATGCCCCCAAAGTCCTGCGCTCCTTTAACCAATTCGAGCACTTTATTTTTTTTGTATTTGCACTGCGCTATCTAGTGGTTCGTGTTACGCGCTTATTTCGCTGGTTTGTCGGCTGGTTTTGGCGGTATGTTTTTGTTTGGCTTATTGTTTAAGCGCATTTTGTGGCCTGAAATGCTGCTGGCTGAAGGGGTGTACGGGGTGGAAGGTGGGGAGCAGCTGGGAGCTTGGTGGGTGGGGCGGGTGTTGTGAATTGGGACAGGTTCGCACAAGCAATCAACCGAGCGTGGTCGACTCAACTCAATTCGACAACCAATTCGGCGGCATTCGCTTCCCCATTCAAACGGGGCGCCTTCACAATGTCCTGTGTGGGTGTGCAGCTGTGCATGTGTGAGAACCCATTTGTACATGTGTGCGTGTGTGTGTGTTAGCTTTGTTTTCCCACAGAACACCACCCACCCAACACCACCTGCTGGTTGACGCCCACTATCCGGTGTGGCTCCTATTATGCAGCATCAATAAGCATTGTTTGCCTTTGAGTAATGCTGAAATTGCCGCTGCCTGATGCCGTGCACAGAAAATAATAATGTTCATATATTTGCTAATTAATATATAATTAATATAATTTGGAAATTATGTAATATATTAAATTCTCTGTTTTTTCTCTAGAGATAAAAATAATACTGCCATTATGTTAACTAGTAGACTGTGTTTGCTTTAATAATAAGTATCTTTCTGAAAATACTATCACTTTAGCCAAATATAAAGAAAAACAAAATTATTAAGTTCAGTTCGCAGTTTTTCTCTGGAGATAACATACAAAAAATGAATACGCTTTCTTTAATATTGTAACAGCAATAAAAAGTATTCTTATTATTATTCGTAGACTTGGTTGCTTTAAAATTATATATCTTACCACAAAAACATCTTTTGCAAAATATGAATAACATCAAAAATATCAAGTTTATGAAACTATGGATATAAGGAGGAAAATACATATACACAAGTAAAGCAAAGAAATAATAAAAGTTTTACAAAATATTTGTTAATACTTATTTCTTTTTGTGTATAACAAAATCTTTTATCTCGGTCTAATTCCTGTTCCCCGAAATTACTGTGTATGTGTTCACAGGATATGTAAGCTAATTACTTAGGCAGGTAAATTTTATTATTTCAGTTTCCATATGCCTGGCGTGAGGTTTACGCCAAATTTAACTCGGTTCAGTAGCGGGAATAAGGTCAGAATCTCTTTTTAGGCATGAAAATTCAAAGATAAGAGGCTGAAAAGGAAGCTACATTTCTTCATAATTTAAGATATTGTATTGCAGTTTACAAATAAAGTTCATAAGTTGAAGAAAACTTTATAATATTTCCCTTCTAATAACAATTCAAATAATTTAAGTAGCTATCTGCTTGGTGGATCTATAATTACTACCATAACTCTTTCCAACGCGCTTGCAATTGACATCCCCTATTAGGGAGGGGCGTGAGCCCTCGACAAGTGGCCAAAATAATTGAGAAATGTAAAATGCAAAACTGCGAAAATTGTCCCCAGACTCGAGGGCCCTCTCTTAATTCTGCACATTTCCCAGGCCCATTTTCCGGTTTCCCCAATCGCCAGATCTATATGTGAATATGCATATGGAACCGCTATGCCTACAAAAAAATTACACCTAAATTTTGACGTTTCCCCCAGAATGGGCGGCATAATGTATGGTTATGAAGGGGGCGTATCCCCAATGCGTTGATCTCCACGAATGCGTGTGTTTTTCTGGTAATTACAGTGGGGGCTTAACCCCTTTTAGCACCCCAACCCCAATCCCCCTCGAAAACAGACGCATAAATTCCAGGCAGATGCCAGCGCTTGAAAACAAGAAAATTGTGTTTGCATAATATCGAGTCCGTCCAGGGGCGTAGATCTAGGGGGCTGCGTCGGTGGGTGGTTGGTATGAGAGTCCTGCTAGAGCTAAGGGGGTGGTACACTCACCTCTTCATTATTCACTGTCCATGTGAGATTGGCCGCCGGTCGCGAGTGACGCGATGTGCAATTACCTCGCAATATGTCGCCGACCCTATATCGGGAATGGATGCCCGATATTAACGGCGCACTGTGCGGCGGCTCTGAAAGGTGACAAAAAGAGAGAAAGAGGAAAATGGCATCAGTTCACAGGTGGACTGGATCGATTGTCACTATATTTTTGATACTCTGCGGTGCACGAAAAACCAGAATCCGAGCCAAACTCTCTGACCCAACCTGTCGTCCTGTCAGTTGGGATTGCGGCGTGGGTGTGTGTCGCAATCAATATCTAGACTGTGTGTGTGCGTCAAGGCCCATTTCATAATTGAAATAATTACGAGTTCTCCTCTGGTCGAAGTGAGTCGGAATTTTAATTTGGCCTGTGAGGAGACTGAAATACCAAAAATGTCCCAGCTATGCAATTGGAATCTGTAGCCAGCACTCTAAGGGATATGTTTCAAGCCGGAAGGAAAGGTACAGTCGCATGCTTCGACTATGGGGTATCCTGTTTGTTTTTGTCTATACAAAGAATAAGATGAGTAACGCCAAATACAATTCGATAAGCTACATTTTAATTTTTTCTCGCTCGAGTTTGAAAGAATTTGTGGGAGTACACACCATAAACCATAAGCAAAGGTGTAGGTAAACCGTATGGCGCTACGCATCTTATGTAATCATACTGTCTTTAGTTAAAGTTTACTAAAAATAATCCTACTAACTTTAAATCCTACTTTACTTTAGTACCCCATTACTTATTTTTAGTGTTCTACAGGTTTCACCTATATATATTCAGCTGTAAAGATTCTCTTGAAGCTTTCCAATATCTAAATTTTCGTTAACTCATCATACCCTCTTCTGTCACAATGGTTAGGAGGTAAAACTAATTTCTCTTACTGTCCATTATCCCGAAAGTAAGAATGAAAACCAACCGGCGCACACATTCGCATATGTGGCACATAAACATGAAATAGACACTTCCAAAAGTTTGTCAAGCCAATTTGAGCTCACCTACGTCAACATATCCAGTCCGGAAAATATAGCCCATCTCCTGCCCACAGCCCACACAGTCAGTTTGGCATTTTATTGACCGTCTCCGGGCTTTTGGCAAAACATTTGCTCCGAAGGCCTTCACTATGTTTGCCGGCTTAAATGTCTTCATCTTTATCTCGTTTACCCGCAAATTTGTTTGTATTTTGTCTGCTTAACTGCCAAAACATTCGAACTCTGAGTTTATTTTTAAGTTTTATGTCCACAATCCCCAAACATACACACACAAGGACTTTGAGTCCGTCTATGAGTGCCGTGCTCAGACTTGGCCCGGCCAATTGAATATGACAGCCAGTCGAGTTTTCAAGTTTGTCTCTGGCTTTGGCCCCGCCTTGGGGGGGAGTTTAAGTTTCCTGGCTTTTCGGCAAAGAAAAACACTTAAACTGAAATTAATTTACTTTGGCATTTCCCGGTTTTTTGGTTTCAAGATCCAAATTAGTTTAATATTTGCACTGGCAGAATTTAAACAAAGAGGTCAGAGTTGTATCAACTCTTTAATATTATCGCCGCGAGAATGTCAACGGAAATGTTACGTTACTGCCTTTATTTTCACTTACCAATAACTTCCAATTCGGCTGCCGCTATTAATGTATGAAACGAGGGCGCATCCGCAGATACTTCGCAACTGTATTTACCGGATGTAGCCATTGTTACCGATTCAAGCACCAATTGGCTCTCGTTCGAGGACACGCGCTGCAAAAAAAATAGAAAAAAAGTCAATAAAAGTAAAGGAGCTGTGAGTGCGGGTTCCATGTATATTTTTTATTTTTATATTAAATACCCATAGCACCCATATAACAATATTTTTTCAAGTACTGCAAATGCTGGTTGCTGATGAAAAATTGTCCAACAAATGTATCTTGCAGTAATCCTTCCGCTTATATATACATTTTTATATGTTAAAAAATAAATGAGTACTTTATAGGGGCCTAAAGAATTGAGATTGCTTTGTATTTTGTTTGTACATAAGGTTATTACTGAGTTTTAATAAATCGAACGAACCGTTTATTTAACTTTTTTTATTTGTTTTATAATATTAGAGGAATTCCTCATGGTGGTTTGTTCCATTGTTTAACCATAAAGCCCATACAATTCACACATTTCTGGATTCAGCGAATATTAGCTTATCCTGTTTTTTTTGTTACTGTTGTTCAAAAACCATTTTAATTGTTTTTCTAACATTCCCGTTTAGTTTTCGTATATTTTTCCCTTCGTTTCAGAATTTCCATTGTATTTTGGTGGCAAACATTTCTGTTCTCACTCCATTTTCACCATTCTAATACAAAATAACTCGCCGAATGCAAAAGAATATGGTTTTATTGTCTTTATTGTCACATGAGTTGGAAAAATAAATTTGAATGAAAAATACGAATATACACAAAAGCAGTACGCAAATAAATAAAATGCCATCGTGCTTCTTTATATGCCTGAATAATTTTCGAACCAATTTAAAAATGCCAATATTTATTGAAAAATATTGCCAGCTCTACGCCGAACGCATTTCGAAACTAAAAAACAAGGCTTGAGACCCGAAAACGGGAATCTAAATGTACGTTTTTGTTTTTCCGGCTCGTAACTGCCGTGAAGCGGAAGTTAAAAACCGTGTTTTGATTTGATTGTGCATTGAAATTTCACATGTGTCTGCTCCTCCTTGTTAACTGTAGCGTTTCGTTCGATTTGGCTGCCCTGGAAATGCAAATGTTTTACATTGTTGAGGCCGCAACCCGTTTTAGTTTGGTTTAATTTATTTTTCTTCCTTTCATTTTTCCTCCTCTTTTTTTTATATACGGCTGTGGAAATGGCATGCCGAAAACCAAAACAAGAATCTGTGGAACGTATAGTTTCGTTGGTCAGATTTATTGGAATAATATATGTCGGAACCAACAAAAAATAGGCACTTAGGGTATAGTATATATGTATAGGGATTTGAGTGAAATATTAAGAAAATAATCACGGGATTAAAACTGTCATATTTATTGAAAATGTGACTGACTACTAGCTATATGCACAGAAATATTATTGAAAATGGCATAAAAAGTCAATTAACTTTAAGAATAGCTGCTTAGCTTTTAGATATACATAGATGATATAAGTACTTGTTTTTGGTTTCTAAATAATCTGGGATTCACTTATAAAATAAGGAATATCTCATTCTCAAATCAACAACAAGAAACTAAAAATTGCATCTCAAATTTAACAAATAGATACATTTAGTTGTTTCTGCCTAGCCCTAGCTGCACTTTTATTTTGTTTTATTTGGCGTACATTTAGACACTTGTGCCTTTAATTTTTGTTTTTCTACAACTAAATAAAAGAGGTCATGTAAAAAAGAAAATTGTTACGGAGACGACTGAATTTTCCATGCTACGTACCATATATTTTAGTAGACTGAAAAAAGTGGATTTTAATTTGCTAAATTTAATTGAAAGATCTTAGGAATATATACTGCTCAATACAAAGACTTCTCAAATAAGAATTTTTACCATTGCATTAATTTTAATACGAAAAATTAACATGGGGCCTTCCTTTAACTTTAATTAATACTTTCAATGGTTTTAAGTAATTATTTTTTGATTTTAAAGATTTTACTGCTAGTTATTTTATGAAAAATATCACAATTGTCAACTTACTCTCACTTTTAGTCCGGGAAAGTGAAAGATCTTCATCGGTGGCGTCTCCTTGGGCGTGTATCTGTAGAATTCGCGTCTGCCACGATACCATTTCACGGAGTACAGACTGTCATCCTCGATGTCGTAGAAGCATTTGAGGACGGCCTTGTCACCGCGCTTGACCGCGTGCGGGACTCGCACCCGGACGTCCCTCAGAGCGGCGGTCAGGCCTGAAATGAAACAATAACACGGGAAATGAAAAACAAACCTTCAACAATTATGTTTAATTATTTAAGGCAATATAATGCTTTCAGCGAAAAGGGACTGAACAAACAATTCCCGCGGGCCGTGTCTAATAGAAATCAACTGGAAGCGATAAAAAATCATCGCGCCTCTCATTTTTAATTTAACATTTGCTTTTATTTTATTATCAATTTTTTTGTCGTTTGTTTATTTTGCCGCTCCGTTTCTTCATTTTGTTTTACGGCGTTGTGCATAATTTATGATGGGCATTTTGTGTTTTATTATTTTGGACTTTTTATTAAATAAATCCCAAACGGATTTTATTGACTCGACAATTCCCACGATATTTTAGATGGGAGAGCTTTACCCTTTTGAGAAAGTATACTGAATCATAAACTGATTTTACGACTTGTCCATTTTTATTGTTTTAAATATTTTACTAAGCAAGCTTATACAATATTTATAATTTAGGTGGACTTGCATACTTGCTGTAGAGATGTATAATAGATTAAGCCATTAAAAACAATTAAAAATAAATATTTCCCTTTAATATTTTTGTTGAAAGAGTAACTCCTTTTCGACTTTTTCCTATTGAAAAATTGTCATTTTTAATATCTATTCTGATCACGTATTGACATGACTTTCGGCATGGTTTTATGCCACAAATCTCTAACTGAACACTCTCTCAAACCTCCTCCTCAGCCATACATATTTTTATAGAATATATATAGATTTTAATATATATAATGCAGAATGTGGCGGACATTTGTACACATGTCCGATTCCCTGTTTTACTGCCCATTCGTTTTTTAGCCTCAGGTCTGGCATTATAAATCAGCTTATAGCAAAGGACAGAAAAAAAGGCTTTGTGTAACCAGAACCTCGTTCCACCTGTTTGCATTTATCGCTCTCCCTTAATAAAATATGAATAAATTGCTCCCTGATTATGTGAGATGAAATTAAAAATCATTTTTATCCTCTTTCACTTCTTGTGTCGTAAAAATTTGTGTTTTTGCCGAAAGGCAATCAGACATTTGACGGATATTCCCAAATCCAGCAGTGGCAATAAATTTTGTATTTTATGGTCTACATAAGCTTTTGATGGAAATTGAGTGCTTTATAAAAATGTTTGAAACAACAGAGGACAATTAAAGAAGGGACAGGAATGGAAATCCTCTACGAAACATGATGCTCTCTGGGAGTAGTAGATTTCACATAGTTTTAACCACTTTTAAATGTCATATTTCATATCCACTCTTTGTGAAATAATTGGACTTAATAACAACTTCACCTCAACCACATCAAGGGACTCAGGGAACCCCTTAACCCCTTGTAACGTAATCAAACCTGTCACGACCTGAGTGACTCTTCATTATCACGAAACTGAAGCCACAAAAAAAGGGGAAAAACTTCCATCACAAGAGCTTCACATTTGAGTCACATTCACAGCACAGGCTGCAGCTCAACGTTCCCAATTCCCCAGTCATTGGATTAGACTTTCTGGCTGCTCCACTGTCATTTAGCGCCTTCAGACCTCTGTGGCTGTGTGGCTCTGTGGCGCCCATTTCATGCCACACTAAATAGACAAGGTTGCAACAATCCGGCGGCAAACGAATGTCCAAACAAACCGGCACGAGTGCGGGTGGTGCTTTGTAAATCCCATCAAATAACTGTAATTGCAAAGTTTTTACAACCAGACACGAGGCGCAGGCCCAGGCCCAGGACCAAGGACAATGCACATGCAGCCCGACCATTTGGTTAGGGGAGGCGGTGCTGTTGGAGTCCCAGGACTCTTCCAGAGCACGGAGTCCTGGGGGTGGTGGCTATGCGCCCCACAACGTGTGCAATAAATATGAATAACGAGCACAACGTGAGTGGCACACAAAGTAAAAACCAGACCGCACTCGACGTTACTGTGCGGCAGTGAAAGGGCATCCAGCTATCCTGCCATTCGGGCCACCCACGTCCTTGATTCCTTGGAGAGAGAGTGGCACATCCCCATTGTTGGCGACACGCGGCGGCAAATATTTGCCACAGCCCCTCTGCCTTTGTTTAAATCTTGTTTATGCAACATGCATGGCATATATTAAGAAGTGCCGACCAGTCTCGAGTGTCAAGCAAATGTCCAGCTGCCCAGTGATTTACACCCGGCTCTGTGAGTTGCTCACTTCTGAGCCGCCGAAGGACCTTCGTTCGATTAAGCCACACAGCGTATAATCGAATTGCGCGAAGGACAGCGGAAGCTTCAGAGGATTCTCTTTACCCAAGTCCCTGGACTATAAACAGTTCTTGAGTTACAGAATCTAATTTGTTAACCAAATAAATTTTTATTCGTATAATTAGTTATGGTGAACAATATTCGAGTTCAGACATTGCTTGTTTCTTCCTCATAAAGTAAGGTGTATTGTCTTAAATTTACAACTTTTGACTCTTGCCACTTGATGACATCCTGGGCAACACAATTTGACCATTTACCACCTTGGAGGTGAATTAAATTCTAGCCCTGGCGCTTGCATAGAAAACTCTTAGCTGCTCAAATTACGGGGCATTGTATCAAAGCATATTTCGGAAAACTTACGGCCAGCTAATTGAAAAGAGTAAAGCCGAAGGAGGGCAAACTCAAAAGTTTGGCCACATTATGACCTGAACTGGCACACAGTTTCCCTTCCACACGAACTCCTGGGGCAAGAGCAGCGTTTGCCTGAATGACCACACAGTTTGCTCGAAGGAACTGGCCACGAGTTCCTCGGGCAAAGTGGAAACTTTCAAAAGTCCAAGTTTATGGAGCTCGGCTTTTGAAATGTGCATGATGTCGAGATACACTTGTGCAACAGATGGGCGGCATTATAATTTTCTATTAGCCATAGTGCGAAGTTCACCAGTAATATTGTCGCTCCCACCAAGTCCTGGCGGATGTCCTGACTGGTGAAGTGGCGCCAAATTTATCATAATTTGTGCTGACACTAAAAATGTAAAACCGTATCTGTGTGCAAAACCCAATAGGAGTGGTGGCAGTGCCGCCACATCATATCGGGCACTATTACAGTCTCGACGCTGCACAGTCATTATTCAGTCAGATTTGACTGCCATCTGGGGTTATCAGCCCCGGCCCATCCTTTGGATTGGGGGGGAGAAGTCCCTGCCAGGACTGTTTATTCGGGCACGGACTTGTCGCCAACGCGTCGGGGGATGTGGATACGGATGCTCGACTCAATGTCCCTCGTCCTTTGGGGGTGGCTTGAAAAATTGTTGACAATTTCAGCTTAATGCATTTTTATGTCACTTCTTCTGGTTTGGCGAAAATGAATGCTGCTGTTGTTTGTCCTGCACAAACACAAACACAAGCCCGAGCCCAGACTCACTCCTTCGTCCTGCTGTCAGTCAGACACCCACACATGTGCAGCAGTCCTTGCATTTGTAGTACCACCAATTCTGACCAAGTCGCTTTTCCGTCAGCTGCACGGAAAAAATTGAAGAGACTTCAATGAAAGAATGCCTTATAGAATCATTTGCATGTTATCAGAAAAATATAGGTTGTTATAATAACATGTAAGTCCCACTTCAAAAATATAATTCTAAATTTAAATTATAAATATAGAAATACATCTAAAAACACCACTTTGTATGTAGAATATCTTTTTCCCCTGTGTGTCTTTGCCGGATGGTTGGAGCCATTCAGCGTCAACATTCAGGACTCAGTCCTCAGTGTCTGTCCTTTGTGTTTATTATGAAATTTAAGCACAAAAACCCCGTGACGGTCTGGCTACCCCCTTTGTTTACGCTTAAAGAGGCTGGGTCTTTGGTGTTTGCCATTTAATGGCACATTTTCCACTTTTCCTCCCAGACAAATCGTAGTCGGTTGGGTTTTTTGGGGGTTGTTTCATTAAATTTAATGTCGTTCGCTCTGTAATTGTGAACAGATTTTAGCAATGGCGAAAAAAATGTTGGGATTACAAATGGTTTCCATTAAGCTCTGATTATTTTAAGGAAATTTTAATAGGTTTTTTTTGCTTTAAAGTAATATTTATACATTTGTTTGTTAATCAATTAACATGGAATATGAAAATTATATGTGTGTACAAAACATTTTAAGTATGTAATTCTATTTGAAGCACCAATCTATATTCAACTTTGACAGCTTTAAAAGATACATCTCTTTTATAATTAACTACATTGCCCATCGGTTTTAATAGCCGCGATTATCACTTTCACAGACATAGAAATAAAAAATGAAAGAGATCCAACAAGTCGCAGCCTCTTCTCCCTCACAGAGAGAGAGAGGAAGGACCAAAGCCAACTGAACATCCTTGGCCATTTATTTAAAAACTAAATAAGACAAGCATCGCTAAATCGCCAACTAAGCTCATAAAATCCCACGAACAAGTGCCCAAGTGTAAAGCAACGTGGGAAATGTTCAAGTATGGGGAAGATGCCGGGGAGGAAAATGGATTGAAAGAGATAGCGCAGCACAGTTGGGAGGTGAAAAGCTATAAAAAGTGCAAGGATCAAACAACTGAAAGCGAGGCGCACTCACACAGCTGCGCTAAATAATAAAGGGAAAATAGGAGAGGCAAAAAATGGTAGTCTCTGGCAGAGAAATGAAAAGAAAATACAAAATTCGGAGCCTCGACTATGAGATTCGCCGTAATCTGTGCATTGTGAAATTTGCAAATAATATACAAAAATATGTTAGGAAAATATTTTAAATAAATTTGCAAAAGACAAAAATGTATTTCAATCTTATAACAATTTTTTGGGGGCATCCTGCTGAGTATCCTTTATGCACTATGTATGTGTATACCCTCGATTCTGTGTAGTACCAAGTGGCAAGTAGTGTTGCATGTGGTGGTGCCTGGTCCCCTCTTGAAACCCTCGACTCATGCCTTTGTGCAGCGTTTCTAATCTAACACTGGAAATTGTGCAGGAATTTGTTGCAATGAGCTTTTTATTATCCATTTTCGATCTCGCCCACCCGCTCCAGCACACA